ACCGGTCTCAGCCGGCTCCCGGTGTCAGACCCGTACCGGTCTCAGCCTGCCGGGTCACTGCAGCACCAACTGTTCCATCAGCTCAGAGTCTCTGTGTTTTCCACACGACGGTTCTGTTAGTTTTAAGGATAAACTCAGAACCTTTAGGTTCTGGATCTGCTGCAGGTGGAGGTAAAATGATGAAACGTCTCAAATCATTTTGTGCAAACCGTGAGACAAGACTTTAAACGGTTCCTCACGCTGCGTCTGGACCACGAGGCCGTGACGGCGCCGCCCAAACATGTGACAAGCGTCCAGATGATTAAATATTAAATAAATAAATTAAATAAACAAAGGGGCGCACGTCGCCCGCCACCTTTCAGGCACTGACAGAACTGAGAGGTGATGGAGGCACGTGACGCTGGGGTGTGGCAGCCCTCAGAGTCTGTGCTGTGATGACTCTCAGCTACCACCACGCCAAACTTCAGCTCGTCAGCTGTACAACCGGCTGACGTGTAGCTGTTTCTGATTAGCTGTGACGGCCATCTTGGATCAGTTTTAGGTGTGGATCCAGTGGTTAGTATTGAAATGTGTTCAAAGGTTAATGAGATATTTTGCTAACAGCACAGACAAAAATACACGAGCACAAACAGCGCTCGCCTCGAGCAGCTGCCTTCAGACACAAGCACGATTTAAAATTTCAGTCGGATGTTTGCAGAAAAAACTGTTGAAACGTGTTTTTAATAACGATTCTGCCTGTCTGTGCGCGTGTGTTCATCTGAACAACTGTTAGCAAAATATCTCACGAACCGCTGAATAAACAAAACTCTGTGATCGTTTGATGATCGCCTGCAACTGATTGAACTGATTCAAGATGGCCGCCGCAGCTAAATGCCTTGAGCAAACGCAGGAGTGGCTTCAGCTCCGTGTGGTGAGCAGATTTTGGTGGTAGTAGCTGAGAGTCGCTCCGAGCACGCACCCCAGCACGACTGAAGCTGTTTAATGTTACAGCTCTGATGTTTCTCATGAACTACGCCTTGAAAAACGTGTCTTTTCTAAACTTTGGTTTGGTTTCAGACATCAAGCGTTCTGTTAATAAAATAAACAAGTAAATAAAAACACAATAAGTTTTTATTACTTCGTTGCTTTAATTTATTATTTGCTTGTCGTGTTCTGGTTGGACACTCAGTGACGGCGAGTGTCAGAAACAGCTCGGGGACAGAAGTTTCTGCAACAGATCCCATGGTTTTTAATGCCAAGGTCACTGTGCGACCTTGGTGTGGTGGGTGGTCTGGTGCACGGCCGGGTCATAAATCAAACACCCCCCAGCTCCAGCTGGCAGCTGGCTCGGCTTCAGCTGGTTATCAGCCGACAGGCAGCAGCTGAAGACAAGCGCAGAGGACAGATGTTGGACAGCGACGACTCTGAGCTTCTCAGTTTCTCTGAGTCGTCGTCCACGATACAGAAACTATGATCAATAACTGATCAATAACTTCGATCGTGATCGACGGGAATGAGCTTTTTAAACAAATTAATACTTTTGAAGGTTTATTTGAACAAAATGAAAGATTTACTTCAGAGATTTGCCCGTTTACATTTCAGACGTGTTTAATTTTAGCGCTTTGGTTAAAATCTTTCAAATGACAAGTTCTAACGTCATTTAAACCTTTTTGACCCCAACACCAAACGAAGAGGAGGAACTGGAGAAACCCTCCGTTCGTCCGCCCATCGTGCGTGTTGCGAGCACGATAAACGTAAACCGGCTACGCCGATCATTTGAGGAAACGACACTTCCTAGTTTTTAAATTGCTGAAAAGTAGTTTTCTCAAATGATAAAGAGTTGTGAATTGTTGCACTCACCGTGCTCCATCATTTTCACTGCTCTGTGCTGTGATTGTGAATCGTATCCAGATGTTCCATGTAATGATCAGTCTTGGTGTGACCGGTCAGTAAGGGACAGCACGAGAGTTTTTTTTATCCTCAAGGTTTGATTGATGTGATTATGGTGACGTGACTCTGGAGAGCCCTAACAGATACAGATGCCGTCTGCAGCTGTTGTCGGATAACGGCTCGGCGGCGGGGGAGGAGCTGGTGGTTTTCTACAAAACAGACTTTTTCAGTTCAGGAAGTCAGAACGGGTCAGAACCTCAGACAGGTGAAGACACTGATGATCTTCTGTGGTTGCTGGGTGTTCTCCAAAGCTTTGTAGTAAATCTGATGAGTTTACACCCGGTTGTTTTGGGAATCTCTTTTTTCCACGGCAGCTGGGGTGGCAGAAAGTTCATCCGTAGCCGACACTTGAATAACTTTTGGGTTCTGCAGATTCAAGATGGCAGCCACGGCTAACTGACTCGATCAGAAACGACCATAACTGGGTCTAGTTTGCAGACACTGAGCTGCAACTTGGTGTGGTAGTAGCTGAGAGTCGTTTCTAACGTGCACAGTGGACACGTACAGTGGACTTGTTTGGGTTTGTCATGTTCGGTCCGGTTCAGTCCGGTTTGCTCACGTGTTCTCGTTTGGTCCAAACTTCTAGCTTCAGCTCGGTTCTGTTCATGTTGGTTCCGTGTTTAGTTTGTTTTGTTGATGTTCAGATCTGTTAAGATCTGACTCTACGTTTCCTCTTCCTGTTGCTCCTTGTCTTTGACGCCATGTTTTCCAAAATTTGATATTTGGGACTCGTCAAGTCAGAGAGAGCACAAAGTCTCCAGATGTTCTGTGGAGGTGGCGGCAGCTGCATGGGTTGAAACTACTAGGATATTTGGATTTTGTCCAAATACGACAAATTACTAATTGAACTATGGGTCTCTTGAAGGAAATGTCTGAAATATAATCCTAATGAAGCTAACCTGGTTTCAAACACTTGGTATGTTCCCAACACCAGCTGATAAATCCTGATAACCACATCTGGTTTGAGGTTTCTTCTTTTAAATGTCGTTAATAAACCCTCATGAGACTTTGATAAAAATGTGGCTCACTATTCACAAGACAAGCCCGGAGCCGTGACCTCAGTGATGGGTCACGTTTATTGTCCAACCTTTCACCGTAACAACCGTAAATCTGCTCCAAGTTTCTTGTCTCCAGTTTCTCCAGCCAGGACTAGGCTGATGTCCTCTCCGTCTCCTTCTGTCTCTGTCTCAGTGTGGACGGGGACGCTCAGTGTCCGGAGGCACTCACCTTTTCTGAATCGTCCTTCGGCCATCCGCCGCCCTTCCATCGCTATAGCAACAGCCCCCTCACCAGCCCCGTTGACCCCTACGGTCCCATCCCCGCCGGCGGGCCCCTGGGAGCCTCTCACCCACAGACACAGGTACCGACCGACCCGGCAGCTCAAACTGAGTCCGGTTCTACAGTTTGTTCTTTGAACTTTATCTATTTAAGACAAAACCAAACGTAAGACGTAAAAACTGTCTTGAATTCGAGCACCACACGGGCTGTACTTATTTATTTATTCACCCTCATTTTAGTTAAATTCAACATTTAATTAAAAAAATTTTTTATATATATATATATATATATGTGTGTGTGTGTGTATATATGGTGGAAATTAAATCTATTAAATAGTTTAATGCATACTTAGTTTTTAAAAATCTCAAGTTTTTTAATTTTATATTTAGATTTTCTTTTCTTCACCTTAGGTTATGTTCTGATGGAGTGAACGATGCACATCTGAGAAAATTAAACTGTTTAATTATTTAAACCTAATTTCAAGAATCAGTGAAATATACGAACCTGGAAAACAGCTTAAACACAGAGCTGAGCTGTTGAACCAAAAAGAAATGCTAACTACAAACAAAAATAATCAGACATAGCTGAACAAAACTAGCTAAAGCTAAACAAGCTAAGAGCTATAAGCTAGCTTACATGTAAAAAAACAAAAGGCTAACTTACAGCTAAAAGTAACCGAACACTTGCTAAATATGATGAAAGCTCAGTTAAAAATGGCTAAAAGTAGCAAAAAGCTTGTTAAAAGCTATGATAGCAGAACAGAACCTAAAAGTTAAAGTAGCTAAAGGCTCTCTAATATAAATTAAAATGCTAGCTTAAGTACTAAAACTGTAGTTAAAAGTAGCAAAAATGTAGCTAAAGACTAATTTAGTAATAAGCTAACTAAAAGTTAAGAGCTAGAGCTAGATGGTGTCCAGATGTGGTCTTGGACTTACCCGCTATGTGCAGCAGTTCATAGCTAAACAATAGAGACAGGGAGCAAAGCTGCAGGAGCCGTCTACCATGACCCAAGCTGCGCTGAAAAGGACGTTTGTGTGAGGTATAAACCGTAGAACTGGTTCACCTGCACCTGGACCTGCCAACTGGTTCGCCTGCACCTGGACCTGCCATTCTGTGCTCGTTTGTTTCTACTTCCTGTCCTCTCAAACCAGCTGGTCAAAGATGGCCGCTTGTCCTGAGCCTAGTTCTGCTGGAGGTTTCTTCCTGTTAAAGGGAGTTTTTCCTTTCCACTGTCTCCTTTGTGCTTGCTCAGGATGGGAGACTGAGACGAAGTGAAGATTCAACGAGTCGGCTGCGTCCTGAGAGAGAACTTTACTAACTGGCTTTTCTGTGCGAATGTTCCTGTTCAGTGCCCTGAGACAACTTTGTTGTGAACTGGCGCTATATAAATAAACTGAATTGAATTGAATAGATAAAAGCTAACACAGCACAATGGTAGCTAGAATGTAAAAGTAACAAAGGCCTAGCCAAAAAAAGCCAAACACTAGCTAAAAGTGTCAAATGCTTAGCTAAAATAGCAAAATGCTAGCTAAAGTATTAAAACAGTATCTGAAAGTCACAAAGTGGTAGGTAAAAGCTAAAGTAGTATGTTGATAGCTAGATGTTAAAAGTACATCAGCTAAAAGAAACAACTACCTCAAAGTGGCAAAAGGCTGACTAAAAGTTAAAGTACCAGAATGGTAGCTAAAAGTTAAAAAAAGCTAAAGTTTAGCCAAAGGAAGAAAAGCACATAGCAAAAGCAGCAACAGGTTAGCTAAAAGTAACAAACAACTAACTAGAAGCTAAAGTTGCAGAATGGAAGCTTACAATAAGAAATAACAAAAACTAGCTAAAAGAATCAAAAGGCTAGCTAGAAGCTGAAAATGGATGAAAGCAAACTAAAATGTCAAAGTAGCAAAATGATGACCGAAAGCTAAAAGTACATTATGAAGACAAATCGGAGCCGGTAGCTGAAGCAGTTCAGTTTTTAAAGAAGCTGAAAAGATCTCTAAATGTTTTTATGAAGCAAACATTCGTAATCCGAGTGATCCTTTTAAGCTGAACACTTTTCAAAAGTCCACGTGTCTCCTCTTCGCCTCCAGGGCAGCTCCCCCATCTCCCCGCCCAGTCCGGCCAGCCTCGCCTGGGCTCAGCGCAGCAGACATCAGCCGGCCAGCCTGGCGCTCCGCAAGCAAGAGGAGGAGGAGAGCAAACGCTGCAAGGCTCTTTCTGACAGCTATGAGCTCTCTACAGACCTCCAGGACAAGAAGGTACGAGACAGGAAGTCCAAACACCCAAAAGGTCCAACACTTTACGGGTCGGGGCGGTTTCTGTTGCTGATTTTCTTCTTTAAATGACAAACAGCCACAGAAACAATGTGTTACAACCTGCGGCTAAAGGAAGGAAAAACAAGTTTAAAAATTAAAAATGATCAACCAAAAGCATCATAATAACGTGGTCAAGTTTATGTTTGGCTGCACGGTGGAGCAGTGGCAGATCTGCTCAAAGTGCCTTGTTTATTCACACTTTCAGTCTAAGACCGAGTCAAAAACATGGAACTTGACAACAAACGTTAACGGTTCTGCTTCCTAATCACCTGCTGCAGGTGGAGATGCTGGAGAGGAAGTACGGGGGGCAGTTTGTGTCCCGGCGGGCGGCGAGGACGATCCAGACGGCCTTCAGACGGTACCGCATGAACAAGAAGTTCGAGCGGCTCCGCAGCTCGGCCTCTGAGAGCAGAATGACCCGCCGCATCATTCTGTCCAACATGAGGCTGCAGGTAGGCGCTCGGACCAGTGGGCACGCTGTTTTCTGACCTGGACTGAACCTCTCTGTGTTTGGGCTCAGTACTCGTTTGATGAGCGGCAGCCGCAGGGTCCGGGATCAACGGGTCAGCAGGGTTCAGACGACACCGGAGACATGGACGACTCGTTCTCGAAGCAGGTAAACGTGTTTTTAATCTTCATAAACTTTAACGGCTCAAAGGAACACAAGAGCTGCTGAAGATTAAAATATGGCTTTCATGAAATTTATCACAACTTGGTGCAGGAACAAGTCTAAGTCTGTAAATCTAAAACTATCCAGTGGAAAGAATCAACTCACCTTTAACAGGAAGAACCAGAACCAGAACCAGAACCTGGCTCAGGATGGACGGCCATTTGCTTTAACCAGCTGAAGTTAGAGAGGACTGGAAAGAGACGGACAGGAAGTGGTCCAGGTGTAGTTTCTATGATCTTTGTGTAGTTTTCTATGGACAAGGTGTAGTTTGTGTAGTCCAGGTGTGTTTTATATAGTGTATGTGTAGTTTTCTATACTCCAGGTGTAGTTGTCTATTTTCCAGGTGTAGTTGTCTATATTCCAGGTGTAGTTGTCTATATTCCATGTGTAGTTTTTATGGTCCAGGTGTAGTTTATATGGTCTCTGTGTAGTTTCTATGGTCCAGGTGTAGTTTCTATGGTCTCTGTGTAGTTTCTATGGTCCAGGTGTAGTTTCAATGGTCTATGTGTAGTTTCTATGGTCTATGTGTAGTTTCTATGGTCCAGGTGTAGT